CACCTGAGTCATGGGAACAGTCCAGTCATTGACATGAGCTCAGTCCAGGCATTGGTTCCTGGAGATATGGACTTGTGTTTAGATCACTCTGCCTAAATTCATCCCTGCCTTCCAGATCCTGCTCCGGAACAGAGCCACAGATCTGGATGCCCGAATGCATGATGGCACAACCCCACTGATCCTGGCTGCGCGCCTGGCTGTGGAGGGTATGCTGGAGGACCTCATCAACTCACATGCTGATGTCAATGCTGTGGATGACCTAGGTAGGCCCAAGCTGCAGCCCAGCTACTGAGGACATCGGCCGGTACCTGGACTACTCAGCCCTAACCCACTCTCTGCTCTCCTTGCTTCCTTTCCAGGCAAGTCGGCTTTGCATTGGGCAGCTGCTGTGAACAATGTGGATGCTGCTGTTGTACTCCTGAAGAATGGAGCCAACAAAGACATGCAGAACAACAAGGTAAGCAGAGGGGCTGCCTTAACCACAGAGGCATGATGAGGACTCCGGTGCAACCATACATTGACCACTTAGAGTGTTAAGAGTGTCTGAGGCACAGCTAATTTTTCTAACTCCTCCCAAGGGTAGGGCCTGGGATAACAGCAAATGAAATAACCCCCACTCTTGCTAGAGATGAGATGAGGCGGCAGCAGCTGTCCTATGTCCCTGTTACTTGAGCCTTGCCTTCGGTTCCCTTCTGTCCCTGGTGGGTGTGGTGACCCTAGGGGTTCAGGATTGGCCAAAGGGCAAGGATGGGGTGGCCATGTCTCTTAAGGCCTACAAGACCCCTGGCCTGGCCCACTGCTACCATCTTCCCTCCTTTGGGATAAGGAAACTCTGTTGAGCTGGGCTGTATCTCTCCAGCTTGCCTCCCAGTGTCTCTATTTGTGCAGGGCTAGTTGCTTCTTCAGGACTATGCTTAGTTGCTCAGAAGCACAGAGTTTGTGCCTTGTGTACCAGCTCCACTGCAGGCTGGGAAACGCAGCAGGAGTCTGGCGTCAGGAGTTGCTGTTGGACACAGGTTCTTTACAGTCCAGGCTGGGCCAGTGGTTATAAAGAGAATCTGAGCCTGGTAGACAGTTCTGTAGGCTCCTAGGCTCTTCACACCCCTCACGAGAGGTGTATGATTATGTCTACTGGGCAGAGCAGATCTGGAAGGAGCTGAGATTCCTTAGCTCTTGGTGACTCTTGGTGACTCTTTGGACAGAAGGTACCTTCCCCATGTCCATTATTTGCCTTAAAGGTTCCCGAGCCCATGATTGCCGTATTTTGTACCTGCATTTTGGGGAGGAGAGTAAGGGTACACAGTTCATTAGGTTTTTGGCAGTCTGAGTGTACACAGGGGAAGCCCTATGGATTTATTCCACAGACCTTTTCTTGGGTGTGAGGTGATAAATCTAGGTTCTCTAAAAAAGGACTCAGGACCAGCCAGGTGTGCTCCTTAGTACCAGGAAGGTACTGAGGCAGGATGATACCGAGTTCTTGGCCACTTTAATAACATAGGGAGGCCCCACTATGGACCCTCTTCTCCCCCAACCTGGTAGTCTAGGATGTTTGGGTCTAGCTGGGTCTCTCCCAAAATGAGAAGAGGAAGAGGAAGCACTGCTTCCCTAGCCCCTCCTCCCAGGGCATCCATCATAGATGACTCAGCAAGTTCCACAGCAGGCACAGCTCCCTCATGTGCCCCCTTGTCCATGCCCTACAGGAGGAGACTCCCCTGTTCCTGGCTGCCCGTGAGGGCAGCTATGAGACTGCCAAAGTGTTGCTGGATCACTTTGCCAACCGGGACATCACGGATCACATGGACCGATTGCCGCGGGACATTGCACAGGAGCGTATGCACCACGATATTGTGCGGCTTTTGGATGAGTACAACCTGGTGCGCAGCCCACAGCTGCATGGCACTGCCCTGGGCGGCACACCCACTCTTTCTCCCACACTCTGCTCGCCTAATGGCTACCTGGGCAACCTCAAATCTGCCACACAGGGCAAGAAGGCCCGCAAGCCCAGCGCCAAAGGGTTGGCTTGTGGTAGCAAAGAAGCTAAGGACCTCAAGGCACGGAGGAAGAAGTCCCAGGATGGCAAGGGCTGCCTGTTGGACAGCTCGAGCATGCTGTCACCCGTGGACTCCCTTGAGTCACCCCATGGGTACTTGTCAGATGTGGCCTCACCACCCCTCCTCCCCTCCCCATTCCAGCAGTCTCCATCCATGCCTCTCAGCCACCTGCCTGGTATGCCTGACACCCACCTGGGCATCAGCCACTTGAATGTGGCAGCCAAGCCGGAGATGGCAGCACTGGCTGGAGGCAGCCGGTTGGCCTTTGAGCCACCCCCACCACGCCTCTCCCACCTGCCCGTAGCCTCCAGTGCCAGCACAGTGCTGAGTACCAATGGCACAGGGGCTATGAATTTCACCGTGGGTGCACCGGCAACCTTGAATGGCCAGTGTGAGTGGCTTCCCCGGCTCCAGAATGGCATGGTGCCCAGCCAGTACAACCCACTACGGCCAGGCGTGACACCAGGCACGCTGAGCACACAGGCAGCTGGCCTCCAGCATGGCATGATGGGCCCACTACACAGCAGCCTTTCCACCAATACCTTGTCCCCGATTGTCTACCAGGGCCTGCCCAACACACGGCTGACTACACAGCCCCACCTAGTGCAGCCCCAGCAGGTGCAGCCACAGAACTTACAAATCCAGCCTCAGAACCTGCAGCCGCCATCGCAGCCACACCTCAGTGTGAGCTCAGCAGCCAATGGGCACCTGGGCAGGAGCTTCCTGAGTGGGGAGCCCAGCCAGGCGGATGTACAGCCACTGGGCCCCAGCAGTCTGCCTGTGCACACTATTCTGCCCCAGGAAAGCCAGGCCCTGCCCACATCACTGCCATCCTCTATGGTCCCACCCATGACCACTACCCAGTTCCTGACCCCTCCTTCCCAGCACAGCTACTCATCCTCACCTGTGGACAACACCCCCAGCCACCAGCTGCAGGTGCCAGAGCACCCCTTCCTCACTCCGTCCCCTGAGTCCCCAGACCAGTGGTCCAGCTCCTCCCCACATTCCAACATCTCTGATTGGTCCGAGGGCATCTCCAGCCCGCCCACCAGCATGCCGTCCCAGATCACCCACATTCCAGAGGCATTTAAGTAAACAGACTTGTGGGATGCAGGACCCCAGCTTCCGTTCCCAAGCCCTGTTGGAAGCCCTTTCCAGTGCTCCAGGATGCTGGGGCGACCAAAGGAGCTTTTTAAAAAATGTTTTTATACAAAATAAGAGGACAAGAATTTCCTTTTTTTTTTTGTATTTATTTATGTACTTTTATTTTCCACAGAAACACTGCCTTTTTATTTATATGTATTGTTTTCTATGGCACTAGGGAAAAACATATCTGTTCCAAGAAAATAAACTAGTTCTCAGAGCCTTGATTTTCCTGGTCAGGGTGAAGTTCCCTGTGTGTCTGTAAAATATGAACAAGGATTCATGATTTGTAAATGCTGTTTATTTATTGATTGCTTCTTTCCAAAATCGAAAAGTTAAAAAAAAAAAAAAAAAAAAAAAAACCAACAGGAGAAGGGAAGCTGGAAACTGCCATGGCCAAGTCCCCCTCCCCACCCCACCCCCAGATGCCTGCTACCGGACACTCACAGCCTTCCTCCCAGTGGGATTTGCAGATGTGTTTAGAAACAGGCCAAGACCTTGAACCTTGGGTACATGGATTAGTTTTGTATCTAAAACAGGAAACAAGTCAAATGATGTGGTTTGTACATTTTCTGTAACCATCAGTGTGGGCTTGAAGTGTCCTTGGCATGTGGAGAACTACCCTGTACCAATCATGAATCTGCAGGCTCCAGTGTTCTGTAGTAGTGTTTATGAGCCTTGGGAGTACTTCTTCCTTGCCCTGCCCCACCCCGCCCCGCCCTGCCCTGCACTGTCCCCTTCCTGACATCTTGAGCAAGTAAGCCATGCAGGGTGTGGTGCCGCCTGGAGAAAGACACTGCCTGGCCTGTTCTGTGCATCACTCCTTGAACAGCGTCATCCAGATTCAGCTGAGGATGGACTGTCCTGCCTGGGCCTGGGCTCCTAACGCCTGACTGCCAAAGGGCACCAATGTGCATTGTGAACTCGCCAGAGTAGCCTGCATTGAGACCTCAAGAAAATATAAGCTGTGTGGCCTCTGATCCCCCTAACTGGCCTGGGTGGGGACATGCTTTGAGTGTGCTGGAATGTGGGTGGAGCCTGCTTCTGGTCCACCCCTCCTGGTTCAGGTGTGGTGCTCACAGCAGATTCTCGCAGTATCAAGTATACGCCTGTGGTAGAATAAGTATCTGTAAATACATGTTTAAAGATGGATTTTGTTTAAAAAATCTAAAGGAAGAAGTCTGTCCTGTGTCAAGCTGATGAGGAATGTCAGATCATGGCTCAGCTCAGTGTGACCCAGGCCTCATGACCTGCAGCTGCTGGACCAGTAGGTCCTAAGAGCACAACCAAGGATGGCCCATCTGCTGTCCACCAAGCCCTTTCCCAGCCACTATGTGCTGGGGGCTTTTGGAGGCAGCTGCTTACCTCCTTAGGGCAGCTCCTCCTGGCCTTTTGGGAGGCAATGTCTGTGCCATGCCTAATAGATACGACCAGACACATCCTAAGATGTTGATTCTTACCGTGTTTTATAAAATAAAGTGTAGTTACAGAAAAAAAAGAAACTTAAAAAAATTATCTACATGCAAAACTGTAGGTAATGAAAATGATGTATTTTTTTCATCTTTTTTGTTAACTAATTTGCAATAAAAATGATGCGGATGGTCGTCCACATTTTGCTACACTTGGCATATGGTTTGGTTCACTTTCTGGGGAGTGTGGCAGAGAAAGGCCACTCAGCACTGAAATCACCAAATCCAAACAGTAACAGAGAAGTTGCTCATGGGGCTACACCATTCTCAGAAGCTGTACAGCACAGGGCATCAAGGTGGGAAGACAGTGTCCAGAAGAGTTGATGCAGTCCTCTTAGGGGGATGTGGATGTGATGTCAGCTCCATTCCTGTGAGCAGCAGAGGAGTCAAGGCACCTTATATTGTCATAGTTGACTATCCTCTGAACACAATAACCTCCAACCTCTTGAAGTTCAGCCACGCCTTCTTGCAAAAGGTCATCCCAGCTGTGCTTGTTGACTGCTTATATTCCCCCTTAAGGGTTTGGGAAGGTCATGGGACTCAAAGAACCCTCGAGTGATGATCCAGTCACTCCATGATACCTGTTGTATGCAGTCCTGCCCTAAATGTCCATAACCTCAGGGAGGGACTAGTGGAGAGACTCAATCTATATGGCTGTGGGGGAAAGCCTTATCCCTGCTGGGTAAATGTTGTGTTAATATTTATTTAATAAATCCTGGCAGCAGGTTGGTACCTGACTCAATGGTTTATGTTCCTGAATGAAAGGCACACACAGTCTTTATATTTTAGTATGTCTTATTCAGCACAATAGCTGGGTAGTTGCCTAGCCTCCATGCTGCTAAAATCTACCTCTTGCCGATAATTCCGTGTTATTACTTACTAATTCTATGTTCCATATTGGCTGCTGTGGATCCAGTTGGGCAGCCCTCTAGGCCACTGCTCTCCCAGATCCTTCACAGGGCAGCTATGTCTCTGTCCTGCATTCTTCTCCATCATGGCCTCTCTTCTCTCCCCCACATTCTCCCAGCATGGCGGATCTCCCCCTTCTCCCTCCTCCCCTGTCCCTGAGTCCCAAGTCCAGGAATCCTAAAATCCCACCTTTGCCTGTCCTCCTCATCTATTGGCTATTGGCATCTTTATTTACCAATCAGAACCCACTGGGGACATTTGGACCTTCTTGTGCAGTTTTGGGGGAATATAACATTGGTAATACAAACAGCTACAGGTAGGGTTCCAGTGTGGGCTTTTTTGACTCAGTAAGTAACCCTTCACCTATGTTCTGCTCATCAGCCCAGCAAATTCATTGGTGCCCCAGTCAACTTTGGTAGAACTGTGCCTAGGACATTAGGAGGAGGGCTAAGTAGTGTCTCTCCCTGGGAAGGAATTTTAGCAACACTCATCTAGCCAGAGAGACCAGCAGCAGGCAGAAAGGAAGGTGAGGAGGGTGCCCTGGGGCAACCACCTTTGTCCAAAGGGAAGACAAAAGAAACTGGAGAAACAACAGATCAGGGCACCATGTGACAGGGCAGGCAAGTATGGAAAGTTCTATGATTTAAGATTAAGTGTTACAAAGGCATCTTAGCCCTAAGAAGAAATCATCATAGCACAGGTGTGGATCTCCCTCTGGCTGCCAGGGGCTCTCCACTTGGCCCACACCTCTGGGCACAGCAGGAGTCTCTAACCAAAGTGACAATAGGGAATGTGATGGCCTCTCTGAGCCTGGCATCTGAGGACAAGTGTGAATTCATCAAGTTCAGATGTCCTGCCCCGGCCCAGTGTTGCACATTGTGTATTATAGCAGAGGGAGCCCAAGGTCCCAGAAGGAGTGCTCACACACAGGATTGTGATAACTTGTCTCATTCTCGCCCTCAAGGGGAATGTCTGAGCCTGAATTCTGCCCAGAGAACTAGCACCCCTAAAATCCCATCTGGAATGGAAATGACAGCTTGGAAAGGGCTTAGCAGGCCCACATGCTTGGGTGTCCTCTAGAGCATCATCCACAATGGCACTTGCAGCCCAATGTCCACAACCTCAATGGCTGGACCATTGGGAACACGTTTGAACTGGGTTTGGGCTGAAAAACATTTACATTTGCGGACTAAAGCAAGGGTCTACCCGTGTGGGCAAATCTTCTCCAGTGAGAGACCAGAGTACAAAAGGTCAGGGAAGGGGGATCCCTGCCTACTGTGGCAGAACATGAATCCTCTCCCACTTTCAGACTCCCACTGAAAGATTGCCTGTTCTTCTTGGGACTCCAGAACTTGGGCCATTAACGCACTGGGCCACCAGCTTGCCAGGTATAGCTCTGGGGACTTGCCAACCCCACAACCTCTCTCTGTAAATATCATCTCTCTCTGTTTATAGCCTAATAAACATTCAATGGAGTATTTTTCACCCATTAAAAGGAGCAAAGCTCTGAGACCTACTAACACATGGGTGAGCTGTTAGGAGGGCATCCAGCTCAGTGAAAGATGCCTCATAAGTGACCACATGATGTCATCTTTATGAAATATCCTCAGTAATTAAAGCCACAAAGTCAGAGAACAGAGTGGCCATTCCTGGGTCTGGGGAAATCGATATGACTGGTGATGCCTACACGTTTGACTTTGCATGGATAGTCCAGCACTGTGTACGTCTAAGAAAGAAGGCTGCATGGCAATGTGAAGGCCCCAGACCTGTCAATGCTAGAATTCCACAATCTGTGACTCTACTAAAACTAGAAAAGAAATCCAAGCAAAACAAGAACTTTCAGAAATTTGTCCCCATGGACACAATGACAAGTTCTCTTTTATTTTGTGATAGGATCTTGCTGGGTAGTCCAGGTTGGCCTCAAACTCACCATCCCCCTGCCTCAGTCTCCCGAGTGATGGAATTCCAGGTTGTACTTCCACGCCCAATTAAACATAGTACTCTTAAGGAGCATCTATCTGCCCCTAAGTCACTGGAAATAAATAAAAAACGTAAAACAATAAAGGGCTAAAGATGTAGCCTAGCAGTAGAGAGTTTGTTTACTATGTGCAAGGCTCTGGATTCCATCTCTAGGACCAAATGAAGTAATCAATAAACTGGCTTGGGAGATAACCTTCAATAAATTGCTTGCTCTATAAACCTGAGCACTTCATTTTGAGCCATGTAAAAAACTGGGTGTGATTACATGCTGTAATCCCAGCATCAGTAAGGTGGGGAGGTAGAGACAGGTGGATTCCTACTTAGCCTTGCCTAGTCAGTGAGTCCCAGGTCCCAATGAGAGATCCTGTCTCCAAAACTAAAAACAAAACTAAAAACAAAAAGAGTGAGTACTGGGGAGAAGGCTCAGATAGTAAAAATTACTGCACTAGCACAAAGACCTCAGTTTGGAATCTCCAGCATCCACATAAAAGTCTGGCATGACAACACACCTGTCACCCTGTGCTGGGGTGGAGAGGGAGACAAGCTCCTGGAGCACCACTGGCCTAGCTAATGATCGGTCAAGCACTAGGTCCAGTGAGAGAGACCATGCCTCAAAAAACAGGGTGGAATCGGGCAGTGTGGCACGTGTTTAACCCCAGCATTCAGCTGACAGTCTGTCTCAAAAACAAATTAAAAAGCCAAGATGGAGACTAAGGAGAATAAGGCTTCCACATGCACATATAGACGTATGCACACTCACATTTACGTGTGTGCGTGTGCGCACACACGGGGGCGGGGGAGATGCCCATATATAGACATGAGAGCAGAGGCAACTGAGTGGTCTTGAACCTACCCTGTGGCACCTGGTCACAAACATCAGCCTCCAGGACAATGAAATTCCTGTGAAATCCAACTGGTATAGGGCTGTTTACACAGCAACCTGGATAGATTGATCCAGTCCCAGACTGAGGTCACCTCTTGGATGCCAAAATCTCTCAGAGACACAGACCAGTTGAATCCCCTAGGTACTGCCTTTTTCCCACTATGAAATGTCACCTGTGCTGGCTTGTTGTATGTCAACTTGATACACAAAGTGGAGTTATCTGAAAGGAGGGAACCGTAATTGAGAAAATGCCTCTGTAAGATCTGGCTGTAAAACATTTTCTTAATTAGTGATTGATGGGGACGGGTCCAGCCTATGCGGGTGGTGCCATCCCTGCGCTTATGGTCCTGGGTTCTATAAGAAAGTAGGCTGAGCAAGCCACGGGAAACAAGCCTGTAAGCAGCACCCTCCATGGCTTCTGTCTGTCTGTCTGTCTGTATCAGCTCCTGCCTCTAGGATCCTGCCCTGTGTGAGTTCCTGTCCTGACTTCCTTCAGTGATGAACAATGTCGTCAAAGTGTAAGCCTAATAACCTTTTCCCCTCCAATTTGTATTTTGGTCAACGGTGTTTTATCACAGCAATAAAAACCTTAACTAAGACAACACCCCTCCCCAGGGATCTGTCATCTTGTACTGTTTTTTTTTTTTTTTCAATTTAGAAGAGTTATTCTGTGTATATTACTAGAATGGCAGTGATTTGGGCGGTAAGTAGAATAAGCAGGGGCACACTATGTCCTCTGGCTGGCTGGACCTTGTGATCCTTCTGTCTCAGCCCCCTGAGTTCTAGGATTGCAGGTATGCCCCACCAGACTTGACTGTAAGTCCTACTTTTCAACATTCACAGTATGTAAGTAGTGGTAAATCCAGCACTCAAGAGGCTGAGGCAGGAGGACTGTCACAAGCTCAAGGCCAGCCTGAGTTATATAGCTAGACTCTGTTTCAAAACTAACAAACAACCAGATATAAATAACCCAAGAACAGCCTGGTAATGGTGTTGCACGCCCTTAATCCCAGCACTAGGGAGGCAGAGGGAGACAAATCTCTGAGTTCCAGGCCAGCCTAGACTACAGAATAAGTTTCAGGACAGCCAGGGCTACAAGGAGAAACTCTGTCTCAAAAAACTGAAACCAAATCAAATAAAAACATAAGTAAATCCAAGAACTAGTCCTCTCCCTCTCCCAAGTGTCCTTCCTTCTGCTGCCTGTGTACCTCAGTATGTGGGGCTCCCATCCTTTTGAGAGAGAAGAGCTTCCTTAACCTCTTGGGGTCACTCAGAGAAGCTCATACCAACAGAAGTCTGATTGAAGCCACATAGATCATTCAAAATACTTTATAACCCTTCAAAAAAGTAAAAAGGAGCGGGTGAATTTATTTCAATACTACATCTTGGTTACCCAATGAAGTCATGGTTACCATTTAACCAGCAGTCAACATTTTTTTTTTTTGGTTTTGGTTTTGGTTTTTCGAGACAAGGTTTCTCTGTGTAGCCCTGGCTGTCCTGGAACTCACTCTGTAGACCAGGCTAGCCTCGAACTCTCGAACTCAGAAATCCACCTGCCTCTGCCTCCCAAGTGCTGGGATTAAAGGCATGCACCACCACCACCCGGCTTTTTTGGTTTTCCAAGACAGGGTTTCTCTTTATAGCCCGGGCTGTCCTGGAACTCACTCTGTAGACCAGGATGGCCTTGAACTCAGAAATCTGCCTGCCTCTGCCTCCCAAGTGCTGGGATTAAAGGCGTGCACCACCACTGCCTGGCAGCAGTCAACATAATTGAAGACAGAGTTCACATTCTTTGTATTATTCTTTGTATTTATTTGTGTATGTATATGTGTACTAACACATGCCATACATGAGGAGGTCAGAGGACAACTAGTGAGAGCCAATTCTCTCCCTCTACCTTGTGGGTTCTAAGGGACTGAACTTGGGTTGTCCTCCATGATGACAGTCACCCTTCCCCACTGAGCCGTCTCACCTGCACTGTGGATGAAACCCAGGCTGGGAGTGGCCATGCTGAAGGTGCTCAGAGGCCACACATGGCTCAAAATGTCATTTCAGACAGGAAGGTCTACATTTATGAACCTTTGCCACCAGTACAGAAAAACAACCCATGGAGCCTGATGTAGTGGTAGGAGTATTTGGGAGGTAAAGGCAGGAGATTCAGGAGTTCAAAGCCAGACCCTGTCTCTAAATAAGTAAAGAAATAAGAAGGTGAGGGCGAGACTGCCATGCTGGTATTTTGTTTCTTGTCAGAGGAGGCACCAAATATGGCCCTTCGTTGTTCTGTCCAGTACAAAGAGGGATTCAAGGGTATCAGTGCCACAAACCCAGCCAAAGCAGCAGGGCTATCTATACCTGCAACCAAAAGCAATGGGGTGCTGCTGTCCGATTGAGGCTCCAGGGACCATCCAGCTGTGAGTCCTGCCTTGTCCTGAAAGTCTTGCCATCAAGGAAGCTCCATGGTAGATGATTTTTACTATGTGACTCCAGACCCTACACTGTGGAGTTGTGGTGACCCAGGCCAACCCTCAGCTGAACATGAGGGCTGCTGGTGGGGGGCAAGATCATGGTCCTGGTAAATGTCCCAGCAGAGATCCTTGGCATCACACAATGTACAGTGCCTCTTGGCAGGGTCCAGTGGCCAGTGGCCTTGAGAAACCTGGGATTATGAGTTAGGGAATGGGGCTCTTTTACTACAGTATCCTCAAGCCTGGATGAGTTATGTGGATTTCGAAAGAGGGTGTGTGGAGCGTCTCCAGAGAATCCCTTTGTTTTGAAGAGCAAGGGCAGGGTTACTGCTCTTGACACTTGGACTTTAAAGATGGTATGGTTCTACCCTAATTCCTGACCACCTTCATGGTTGGTATTCTCACGTACTTCCTGGCAGCTGCAGGATCAAAGGTTCCTAGAATGCTCTCCTGTGTGAGGGGCGACCTCCAAGGTCTATGTGTGGATGCTTTGGCCATCTACATAGAACTCACTCTGGAACACAGATCGAGCAACAGCATGGCTGTTGTTATCACAGTGGATTTTAAGAGCATTCCTTAGCAGTCAAGCCCAGCATACAGAGTCACTGGTCACCACCATCTTATGGAGAGATGGTGTCTTAGGGTTTTTACTGTTGTGAACAGACACCATGACCAAGGAAACTCTTTTTTTTTTTTTTGGTTTTTTGAGGCAGGGTTTCTCTGTGTTGCCCTGGCTGTCCTGGAACTCACTCTATAGACCAGGCTGGCCTTGAACTCAGAAATCTGCCTGCCTCTGCCTCCCAAGTGCTGGGATTAAACGCATGTGCCACCACTGCCCGGCCCAAGGCAACTCTTATAAAGACAACATTTAACTGGGGCTGGCTTATAGGTTCAGAGGTTCAGTCCATTATCATTAAGGCGGGAGCATGGCAGCATTCAGGCAGACATGGTGCAGGAGGAGCTGAGAGTTGTACATCTTCATCTGGTGGCAGCTAGGAAAGTGTATTAAAGCCCATACCCACAGTGACACACCCACTCCAACAAGGCCATACCTCCTAATAATGCCACTCCCTGGGCCGAGCATATAGAAACCATCACAGATGGCGACACTAGGTTTCCAGTGGCCAAAACTGTGTGCTGCAGAGCTCTTCTGTGCACATACTACCAAGGGTGCTCCACAAAGTGCAGGCTTCAGTGCTCTCACACAACGTTGGCCTCATGGCTTATTTTTAGATTCCACTGCTTGTGAGATCCATTTTCTTTTTTTGTTGTTGTTGTTGTTTTTTGAGACAAGGTTTCTCTGTGTAGCCCTGGCTGTCCTGGAACTCACTCTGTAGAGCAGGCTGGCCTCGAACTCAGAAATCCGCCTGCCTCTGCTTCCCAAGTGCTGGGATTAAAGGCGTGTGCCACCACCGCCCGGCAAGATCCATCTTCTACGTGCTAATTCTATGACTGTATGTATAACCCTGTACTCTGTTTCTCATGAGAGTCCTCTGCATGGGGTGAGCATGCTTTCTACTGGAGCTGTGGACACTCTGGCACTCAGAAACAAGTCTGACCTAAGTTACTTATTTACTCCCCATCAACCCAATCCTCTTAATCTGGAAAAGGGAAGGGGAGAGAAAAAAGGTCCCTGACCTTAGCCTCAGCAGGTCAGGTGGAAGGGATGACACAGAACAAGGTCCTTTCCTCTATTTCAACAGCAATGCCACTGGCTCCCACAAGGCTGAAGATTGTGTCTCTGACCTCAGAGCTTGGAGATCCATTGTCTTCTCTGACTCCCAAGTGCTCAACTCGGAGCATTTAAGCAGCAGCTGCTATCTTCACCCATAGCCCATCACCTCCAGGGAGTCCAGAAGTAAAGACTTCCCTCAGCGAAGGCTGCTGTGTGGGGGATCTGCAGGGTGTGCAACACCTGCAGCTAACTAAAGTGAGACAGGATCTGGAAGGAGCCCTCAATGGCTGGGTAGATTTGTAGGTGGCTCTCTGCCTCCCTCTGCTGGCAACATTCCACCAGTGTGCCTCTGGCCAGCAAGAGGTCCTCCAGATGGCATTTGTGCCCATCCCAAGATATTATTCATGTTGCATACAAGGAAACTGAATGAAACAGTTCATTCAAATTTATTCACTAGATCCAGAGATACATGACTTCCAGATCTACGAAAGAGGTCGTCTCCCTATTAAGAATGTAAGGGACTCATCTGGCTATGCTGCCCACAAGCACTTCAAAAGCAGAAACAAGTGGTCAGGGAGAAAGAGGGGTTTGGCAGGGCACTTTTTCAGGATCCCTTTGCACACTGGGGCTCCTCCTGGATCTCTCAAAGCTATTGTTCTTTCCCTGCCCAGACTCCTAGGAGTCCACTCATACAATGCGAATTGCCACCCAGGTTTCAGATTCATGCCTTGCTGCTATGCTGGTGCTGTCAGAAGCAGCTGCAGCCAGAAAATGCAATCTCTGCCCAAGGGCTTCATTATGGTGTGCTCTACATTTCCCCCAGAAATACCACTTGCCTGGGATGTCCAAGGCTAACTCGAGCAGGCCAAATTGAGCTGAAAGGTCCCTAGGACCTCCCTTACCTCCAAATATCCTATAGCAAATATCCTTTGACAGGCCTACAGACCCACAGCCAAGAATCCTTTCCTTGTCGATACAGAAGCTCTACCCAGACTGTACCAAAGAGCTCCTGCCCCTGCTTTGACAAGTGCCTCATAAGAGCTCCACATCTGGAGCTTTCTAGTGTCTATACCCTCTTCAGGACAGAGGGGTGGCCAAATTCCCAACTGGGCCTCTATCCAAATTCCAGCCAGCTTTGCCTGGAGTACAGCAGGGGCTCTGCACCATCTTTGTATGTGTGCTGGGAAAGAGGTTTCCTACTCTTCCTAGGGCCCCAGCACAGCTGAGCCCTTCCTGCTCTGTCTGTGCCCCTGGGTTGTGTGATATCAACATCTGCCTGTGTTTTCTACTACATCCCTATTACCTGCTTATCACCTTATAGGGTGGTTCTGTGATCTAAAAATGTCCCCAGAGACACACAATAAGCCAAGTCTAATGCAGGACTCTGGAGACATGAAAGTGAGGCCATAGGCCAGGAAGCTGATAGTAGTACAGTTAACACGTACCTTACCTGGAAGGGGCCAGGAAGTGGCCTACTGCGAATTCTGTGCCCTTGTTACCCATGACAGTTCCAGAAGTCTTCAGGAAAATCTACAACAGGTTGTGATTACTGTGTCTTTTCACAAGTGAGGAAATGCAGGTGTCTGGTACCCTTGACTCTCTGGCTTCTGGATCTTACAGCAGAGTTGGACTAAACACCTGCCTAGAGTACTGCTGGAGCCATTTTATCTATGTTCTAGCAGCCGGGGACACCCAAAGCTGTGTCCACTCCTGTGGGGAGGAAGGCTTGTAAGCCCCATTCTCAGCAGCCCAGGATAGGAACAAAGTGCCAGGGCTTCTTTAACTGGCACCTTCAGCCCACAGGTTGGCCCTCACTTATACTCACAGTGAGCACCCAGCGGGCCTAAGACACTATAGGTGGAAGGCAGGGCTATTGAGGTGCAACTGTCTGGTATGGAGCCCCATCTGCAAACTAGCCTTGTAATATGGGCACGTGAAAAAGTGAAACTGGCCCGAGGCTTCTTTCCTGCTGCCTACCATTGCTCTCAGGGGTTTAGCCTTAAGCTTCAAGAAAGGATCTCCACTCACCTTAGCTACATGGGAGCCAGCCGGGGTAGCACCCTGGTATATACTATAGGACCTGAAAACAAATAACATACAACTCTAAATCCCAGCTGCCTCTGCTTCCCAATCCTCCTCAGCCCATCACCTCCTTATCCTTTAGGAAACCTCCCTCCCCCATCAGCTCTTTCTACCCCTGTGGCCCTAACATGCTTATGGCTGGACTACTCAGGGAGCCCTGTCTCCCAGAAGCTGACCCTTTCTTCTCTTCAGGTTCTGTGTCCATGCTGAGGGTCTATCAGAGGCTGAGCACAGTGCCACAAACAGAGCAGGCACAAACCATCAGGAATACCTGAGGTTGAAACTACACCTAGCAGGTGTGAGGGACAGAGGCTTGAGGCCAAGAGATATCCTCTCTTCACCTACACTGCTACCTCTTCCTTTAGTAGTCTTCAGAGGCCTGCCCTTAGCTTCTTGGTGTCAGAAAAGAGACAGCACCATGTGGCTTCCTGACTCAGGAGGCTACAAGCCCTAGAGTAGGGATGTCAAGTTCATAGCATTTAGGCAAGCACTGTCCAGAAGGAATGCACTGTCAGCTACATGTGGAATTTCATAATTCCTAGTTATATTTAAAAAAACATCATGTTTAATAAGAAGTTTTATTCAATCCAACATACTCAGAATGCTCAACATTCAATAAACACTCACCAGTGAGTCACTGTGACTTCTTTCCTATCTGGTGTGATTTACGTCCAGTCCAGCTCCATGTGAAACAGCTCTAGGTAACTGCCCAGGGACCACCACAGCAGATAGTGCAGCGACTGGGAGAGGCTTACTGGGTAGGGTTACAAAGAATACATGGCTATCAAGTGCTGGTCACAGTGTCAGAAAACACAGGGAGTTCTGATATGGCTTCATGCATGGAAGTCCTGTGTGCCTAGGCTGTAACAGCTTTGTACCAGACGCTGACTACATAGGACTTGAGGGAGCTGGAGATACTGTGCCCAACTTCCAAATAAATGGAGTCCCCAGGCAAAGAGGAAGGGGCAGAACCAGGAGTACCCATAGTAATGGTGGGGGCACCCATAAACACAGGAGTCACCATATGCCCTGCCTGCCTCAGGCAGTCCCAGTTTGTGCCCATTGCCTTTGCATATGCATTAAAGTACCCCATTCCAGTCCTCAAACTACCCAGTGCCTCTCCCAATGCCCAGAGAGGTTTCAGTCAACAGAGCAGGGCATGTAGGTGCAGACTGAGCCTAAAACTGGAGTGTCTGTCACTCAGAGACCAAGTTAGCTTGGCTGCATGATGCCAGCCAGTCTACAGGCAATGAGTCTTGTCGCTACCCTAGGACGGAGTCAGAACAGACAGTTGTCCCTCTAACATCTCTACCCTTTGAGCCTGAGAGTGGAGACCTTGCATTTATTTATTTATTTATTTATTTATTTTTGAGACAAGGCCTTTCTACTATGTAGCTTTAGCCATCCTAGAGTTGGGGTTGCTGCTTTCTTTTTTATTTATTTTATATTATTATTATTATTATTTTTTTTTTTTGGTTTTTAGAGACAGGGTTTCTCTGTGTAGCCCTGGCTGTCTCGGAACTCACTCTGTAGACCAGGCTGGCCTCGAACTCAGAAATCCGCCTGGCTCTGCCTCCCAAGTGCTGGGATTACAGGCGTGCGCCACCACCGCCCGGCTGCTGCTTTCTTTAAAGACTTTAAGGACGCTGAGTCCATCTGGCTCTCTAAAGACAAATGTGTACTCATACACAGTAAAAAAAAAAAAAAAAAAAAAAAAAAAAAGACAAATGTTAGCTTTACAGAGTGACCCATAGTGCCACGTCAGACGAGATGAAGCTGGCCCTCAGCTCTCCCAGTTCTCTTGCGTGGCTGAGCGTTGGCCAGCTCCACCATACTCCCTACTTCCCCGCCTCTGGGCTCACCACTGACCAGGAGGCTTCGCAGGGGCACCACCTTCATGCCCCCTGGAGTACAGGTGAGAGAGATAGGCTTGGTCACTTCCCTGATGACAGCACTCACCTTTTCTGGAGCGTCTCTGCTCTGACAGACAGAAGCCTGACCTGCTGACATCCCTGGTCTAAGAAGTCCAGCGCTTAGCCTTGAGCTTTAGGCCGCGCCCTGCCGGGAGGAGTCGTAAGGGAGATTAAGGACCTGGCCTCCAGGCTCTGGGTCCTCTCCTCTAGCAAAGGTTGGAGGGGGTCGGGGGATGGGTGAGCGCTCCTGCTAGCACCAGAAAAGACGTCTGCTTTAGCCGCGCGAACTGCACCCGATAGGGTGCAGCAGAAAGCAGTAACCAAGCAACGGATGCAGATCAGCGCATGCGCGTGTCCAGCCCGCAGAAGACGACCGCCTAGCTACTCGAGCAGGGTGGCGCACGCGTAGTCGCCCCGCCGGCATCCAAGAGAATCCAACGGAAAAATGGGAAGGGGGCAGGAGGCAGAGCCCGCTGAGGCTCTGGACTCAGCGGAACTGCTGGCTTCTGTTTTTCAAGACAGTTTCTCCCTGGGGATCTGGACTGAAGAATTCTTTCTGGTCAAATCCTAGAGTTGGAGGGGTGCAAGACAGAACCGGCGTAACCAGGGCGACGTGAGGAGGCAGGGCCCGCGCTCCTGGCTCAGCAAGTGGGTGAGGGCGGGGCCACGGGTTGGAGCTGTAAAGGGCTGACGTAAGAGGGGCGGGGCTATGGATGGGACGAAGCGATGAGGCTGTGAAAGACTGGAGAAGAACGAAGGGCGGAGTCAAAAGGAGCACGGCGAAAGGCTCTTAAAGGGAAAGGGCGGGGGCGATCCTGGGGGGTGGGACAAAAGGATGAAAGCGGTGAAAAACTGGACGGGAGAGGGGGCGGAGCCAAAGGGGGCGTGACATGATTGATGCGCTGAAAACTTTTACGGAGCGGGGCCAAGAGGGCCGGGCAGTGGGGGCGGGGCAATGGGTGAGGCCTCCAAAGACTGGAGGAAGCGAGAGGAGGGGCGATTAAGGGGCGGGGCTCGCGCTGACGTCTCCGTCGGACACGTCGGCGGCGGCACCTGGAGCCGGATGTGCCAAGATGGCTGCGTCTGCTGCTGGGTACGCGCTAGTTCCTCCTACTGCCGCCGCCATCACCGGCTGCGTTTCAGTTTGCGGCGCCTCAGAAGCCAACCGCAGCTGAGCGAGTGAGGGCTGAGTGTATGGAGCACGTAGAGGCTCAAGGGCAGGCGAGGCTGCGGAGGCCAGGCAGGCTCAGTGAGCATCGGGCCTACCCTGGAGTGGCGAGCGCATTTAAAGAGACACCGTCAGGCCTGGGGAGAACGACAGTACCGGGCCGCCTGGTGCTGAGACACCGGACAGGTTACAGGCCGTGTCGCCTTGGTGGGTTGTCTAAGAGGCTTGTGATTCCCAGGCCTGACGGGAGGCAGATGCATGGTCTGGGCTGTGGGAACTGGTCGGCCTCTGGGAAAGGTGTGTTAGCATGTCTAGACTGTGACGCCTCAGAGGAAACCTGCAACTTATTTAAAACGAAGGAAGGTGCAGGAAATTGCCAAGCTTGACTTTTGCTGGGTTTTGAAGATATTTGGTTCTCATTGGCTCAAAGACTTCCTCAGCAGAGCTGGGGATCATGGGACACATTTTCCTTTAAAACAGGGAATAGCAGCATTTATTTGTAATCTCTTGGCCGGCGCAGCAGGATGTCGCAAGGGAGGTCGTGGTTTGTTTTTTTACCAAGGTGTAGAAAAATGTCAGCGTGGCCGTTGGAGTGTCCTGTAGAAAACTCTGGCTGTTCTGCTTACACAGATTTTTAAGTGGCATGTGGAACGGTCGTGTACTGGAGGAGAGATTTCCTTTCAAATGTGTTTACTAGAGGTGTTTTCCATCCTAAATTTGGCAGTAAGAAACAACAGACTCACAAATTACTGTTTCTGCGGGTCCTTTTGCAAGTTGCAGCACAATGCAGCCTCCTTACACTTTGTGTCCACATAAGCTTCAGGGTTTCAGTGATCGTGTCTTGCAGATGAGATAAGAGACAAAGTAGAGATTGTTTCTTCTTGTGATTCATTATTCCTGAATGAATCTCCAAATTGACCTTGGAATTTTCTGAGATACCATGTAGATTTTGGTATCCTGTCTTGCTTTTATAAGCAATTATAAATGTCCTCGTTTCCAGTGTGTCTTCCTCACCTGGTGTATAGCTCTTTCTCTTCTGCAGATGTCTTCTTCAACATTTTAAGGGTTCTGGTTCAGATTTTGACATAGAAGAAAGGTGTTTATCTTGTTTATCTGATAAAGAGTATCACAGGCAGTCACCATAGGGGAGCTTGTTGGTGGAGTGGAGCTCACTAATGTTTTGGGATGCCCCTGTGTTTTACAGTTTACAGGTGTTAAGTCTGGCAGTGAACGGGTCAGGGGATGTTTTAAAAACCTCAGTCACACAGAGTCATACTTAAAATGTCTTGTGTAAGTATGTATGTAGATATGAGGCAGTTGAACTACAGAGCTGGGTTCATGAATCTGAGAGATCAGTAGGTCTCTCTGAAACAGGTGCTTTTTTGAAAAGTAGATAACTTGCTAAACATAACTTGCTGTCTATACTCCTGAGATAAGTGGCAGGCAGTTCATTATCTTTCTGTTGGTAAGTAAAGAAGATTAAAAGAATAATGTTCAAGTTGCAAGATTGTTCCACCTGAAACAAGCATATTATGGAAAAGCTCTCAGCATAGGAACTGTGGGTTTTCTTTGTAGGTGGCAGTGTTAGCTCATAAAATAGCTCTTAATTTATTAAAGTTGAGAAAATAATTTCAAGTTTCTTCAAACAAAATAATTGAGTATAAATTTAGGCAGTTAGATTATGGGAGGCAGCATTAGGGATTGGGCCCTTGAAAGTAATAATGAACTTGGAAGACACTTGGGGGTGTGTGTGTCATATTCTCTCATTCTGTGAATGTAGAAACTAGTTGCAGAAAGAAGTTGCCCTTAGGTGCTCAATGGATACCCAACCTATTGACACTTGCTACATTAGCCCTGTATTGTGTATTGTATTTTAGTTTAGTTTTTGCTTGCTTGTTTGTTTTTC